CAGGCAAGGGTCACTTTTACATTCAGGTTTGGTAAATATCACAGGAGGCTGAACTTTGCAGCTAGTAATAATAACATAACTGAGGCCACAACTATACTTAAAAACATTCTGTGGCTGAACGTTGTAAAACTGTATGTGTCTGTCTGTTAATGTGACTGCACACAAGTACCAGACCAATCAGTGTGATCAGGTTTAGCATAGGAGCAGTGCACTCCAGAGTTTTAAGGAAAATCACCTCGATGCTTTTCAGATATGAAGCACGCAGTCAGTGACTGGTGTCCCGGGTTGTACTGAGGTTACTTTTAATATTTCTAAAATCCTTTCTAAAGCCCAGAGATGATCCAATCCTAATAATTAGCTCAACCGGAGGAAAGAAAGGCACAACCATAAAAGGACTGTTGGCTTATCCTGTCACAAGACAGCAGAACGCGTCATTTTTTGATCACCTCTATTTTAAACAGAATAGTTTCGCATTTTGTTTGCCATTCAGAACCTCCGCCTGCCACCAGGGCAGTTTATGCAGAGGGTGTAGCTCACAGACACCATCAGCCTGATTCTGTAACCTCTGCGTCAGTATGAAACTACACCCAGAGGCTGTCTCATTTTTCAATGTCTAATGTAAAGTTTTCCAGTAAAATCCAATCATAACCGATAAACTACAAAATACAGTGTAGTGTGTAAGTGGAAGGGACATCACTGCAAGCTATGAACACACTGATGCACTACCATAACATGATAATGTGTGATATATGCACATTTTTGAAGTGAGACGTCATCTTTGGGGAAATGCTACGAATGATTTTGGGGGAAGGAGAGAAGAGCATTAAACCCGAACGGAGTTTGGCGGGCTGAGCAGACACCTTCACTGCTGGCAGTCCAGCGATAAAAGCAACAAGTGAGCAGCTGACCTCTTTTACTTTTACCAAACGGCTCAGCGGGAGAAACATTTCAGTGTCAGTAGCTGCGGATTCAGAAAAGCTGAACAGGCTAACGCAGCCACACTCGCTGGTCATTATCACACAGCGAAACGCATTAGCAAACCGCCTAGCAAGCTGGCTCGGCTGCATTCACCATATTCGGCACACGGATGCACATTTTATGGCGTTTCATACGCTGTGAGGCTTCAGTAACTGAAACGACGCTTAGCTGGGCTAAACCAGAACACCGCAGTGTTAACAAATGACCTCATCACAACAAATTAGCCCCACAACACCCGACTAACAACGCACGAGCATCACAGCGCGTGAGCCCCGCGTGCTTCTAACATGTTCAGTTTCTACCAAACACGGCATCATGAAATTTGTTTTACCGTAATAATCCAGCCGCTCTCTTACAACCGATTCACTTTGTGGCGTCTGAAGTCAACGTAGACCGTTGTCAGCAACAACCCTGCGTCAGCACCTCTTCCGGTTTGTTGTTTTCAAAATAAAGCTATCAATTCAGTGTTTGTTTACTATACCTGTCAAAATAAAAGTGCTAAAAAAAGAAAGCGTCCCCGTGGTGTTTTAGTAAAAGGCCTGAGTCTCCACAGGCGGACTCAGGCCTTTTACTAAAGTATGACAAGCTGATTCTATTGTGTCTATCTATATCTATTATTCTAATGATAATATTCTATTTTCCACACCGACCAATCAGTGGCGTGTCTAGAAAATTTTTGTTGGGGGGGCCAGGTAGGGGCACAGATTTGGAGAAGGGTGGCAGATTTAATTGGCAGATAATGTTTAAAAAAAAAAATTCTACCAACCCTTAACCATAATTCAATAATCCTATAAACCTAATAACCAAATGCACTTTTAACTCTTATTAGAATGAGATTTTAACCACTACGGTGCAAAGTTTTTAGATACTGCATTGATAAAGTACAAGAGATACAATCAGTGCTTTGTCAGTGCTTACTCAGCATTCAAGGACATCAATATTTGCATAGTATTTTTACTGACATATAGTGCACATATGTTTTGGGCAAAAACATTTTTGAAAATTAAAATACGAACATTTGTAACAAACAATTGACAAATTAGCCAATGCAAAACTTTCTCTGCCTGTTAAAAAAAGAAGATAATCTTCTCACAAACTGGTGTTTGATTTTGAAACAGGAAAAAAGTGGGGAAACAAATGAAAAGACTAACATTTGAATAAAACCTGAAAGCAAGTAAATACTTTCTATGCTGCCTTATGGTAAACTCTGGTAATATTGATAAAGAACAGCACTGGCTGATGATAAAATACAGTCAGCTGGCATGGTGACACTGCCAGTATTAACCTGCAGGGCTGGACTGGGACAAAAAAATTGGGCATTTTTACTACAGACCGACCCACCAGGTAGTAAAGCCATAAAGACTTTGACTGAAAACAAACCCTGTTGTGACAGTGATGTACAGTCTTGTTGGTATATGTATGATTTCTATACATTTTACGTCAGATAAAAACTTTGGTTGTAAGATTTAGATAATTATTTAATAAAAACTAGGTATTTTAAATGAGAATAAGAAAGTACAGTATATCTTTGTGCCCCCCTTTCCCTTTTAATGCCCTACCTGGCCCCCTGGCAACACTTTGCTAGACCCGCCCCTGCACAGTTACCAGCTGTCAGCTACATAAAAAAGGATCCTGGTGTTATTTGTCTCTCAGAAACAGTTCATAACTTCAACTCATTCATGTCACCTAAAAGGTAAACCTGTTTCTCCATCACAGCTCTGATGATTCAGTAAGGACATCTCCTGGTTTCATCTTCATGTTTCCCTCTCACCAGATAACCAAACCGACATCATGACCAGCAGCTTTACAGCTGTGGCTCCAGCAAACATCAGCTGATACTAGAAATTAATATTAAATACATTCTAACAACAGCTGATCAAGCTTAAACGTGCTGCTGTTGTTTAGCGCGACATCAGCTGGTTTCCTCTTTCTGGCGCAAAGTGGGCGATAAATAAACAAGAGAGAAAAGCCGATCAGCTGATCATTGATCAGTTTCATGATTGAAGTAGCAACAGGAGAGGGAGGGGGAGAGAATGAGAGAAGAGGCAGCTGTGCAGCGTAAAGACAGAATAACTCCAGCTTTGTGCCTTTTTTCCATCCTAGCTGAAGTTCGGGACAAACTGCGTCTCTTCTCGGCTGAATACGAAACGTGTAATATTTTCTCTGAATGAGGGACCATTCCATTTTTTTAAGGAGCCGTTGGCAACTCTACTAACCTTATGAATAAAATAAAGTTCACTATCAGTAACATCATAGCACCCACCCAGCTGTATAAAAACTCCAAGCTGGCTAAAACGCAGTATGAGTTATTGCAACTGACAGTAAAAAGTCAGCAACATGAAAATAAACTCCACCTAAACTTGGTTCATATCTGACCCAGAGAGACTGCAGGTCATAACTTCTTACCTGAAGTTCAGTTCACCTGACACTCGGACTGGCGGCTGCTTCGGGTCTCTCCTCCTGCCTCCCCTTCCCTCATCCACCTGTTGCCTCTGTGGAAGCCCCGTCATAGCCACCACCAAACAACGGAGTTATTTCTACACATCGACCTGCATCTGGCCAATCCACCACCTCTCATTGTTCATGCCCTTACAAAAAAAATAAAAAATAAGTCACTGGGGATATGCCCGGTATGCCCGATGGCCAGTCCAGCTATGTTAACCTGCAACCAAATCTGCAGCTCCATACAGCAATGTTACGACTTAGATTATATCTTATAACGCATAACTCTTATGTTAGCTGCCCTCAGTAGCATACTGTCTGAAATATTCCACAGCTGCAATAATTCTTTAAGTGTTATTTTTTTCCTTGGTATTCTAATTTCACCGAAGTTTACTAAACTCAACAAACTTAATATTACTTACCGGGACATTTATTCTGTCCTCATTTTCTTTCACCGAAAAATTGTTTCCTGCAGTGACGTCTTTCGTGCTTGGCTCTCCTACCTTTGCTAACGTGATGCACATAGCGCAGAAGCCGATGCTGCATTCACTTACACTCGGATATCTGAGCGTCACCGTGAAAACATAATCGGATATTTGATTGAATTTTATTGTTTTGCCTTTGGGGTGGCACCTGGGGTGGCCAGTCTGGTTTGGGGGGTGGCCTGTGCCCCCCCAGGCCACCCCGCTGGACACGCCATTGCGACCAATGGCGTGAACTGTAACTAATCCCTGCGATGCCGCTCAGCCAATTAAATCATTTGTTCAGAGCGCGTGAGAAAACATAATTGTGGGAGGAGACAGAAGAGGGTTAGAGTACGCCTTTTTATGATTTTTTTTTAAATTAATTTAAAAAATATTACTGTTTTAATTAAGTACTTATTTAAAGACAACTAATTCAACAGTTCTTTTTTATTTTTGAAAGCAACTTGAAACAAGAGCATCCAATCATTACTGTTATTAATATTATAATAGAGTACCTTTCAGACCATTATGAAAATGATTAACGGTGTTACTGTGGACTCACGGATACAACTGTGCGGCTACTTCAAAATATACTGCTTATGATGTATGAGGAGCTTTATAATCTTTGGGACATTTGTTTGAGGAAACTTTATTAAATAAAAGAGAAAGCATTCGGTTTAGAATAAAAATATTAAAATGTTGATTGTTGGAGCAATTCAGCAGATAAAACAGGCCAACACGTATCAACATACAATCAGTGCAGATCAATGACTGTCGGAGCTTTCTACAGTCACTGGTGCAGATTAATATCAGCCAATCAATCATACAAATTTCCATCCATTCTCTTCCGCTTATCCAGTTCAGGTTCGCCGGTGGGCTGGGGCCTATCCCAGCTGTCTTAGGAGAGGCTCACTCAAAATCTTTGTGAAGAGTGAAACACGGTAAACTGCTCTTTCTGCCTGATACTTTACCATAACTGAATTTAAAAGAAACATATATAAAAAAATATTTAAAGGACTGTAAGTGGCCTAGCTAAGCTTGTTTCCACATATTTAACTGTGGCAGTTTAAACTACACCAACGGAACCCCCGCGGGGACAGTTTTGTGTGCGGAAGCGGAAAGTTCAAACATGTAATCAGCAGTTCCTGGTACAAGTTAAAAGCAGTCGGGTCGTCACTGTGAGCATGTCATCGGTCTGTATATTCACAAACTGTCCCTGTGTGTATAAGAACGCTTCGTTCTGCTGAGCGCGGCTGTGAAAAGGTTTGATTTGCAGACGTTTTCATTTGTTCGTTTGCGTGAGCAGCGTTACATGTTCGGACAGGAGCCCGCCAGGAGCGCGAGGCGGAACGGCCCCAAACCATGGCCCGTGGTCGCGCTGTCGGTGCTGGGCTCGGCCGGAGCAGTGGCCGCGGTCGGGTTTCTCTGCGCCCTCATCTACCCCATACTCAAAGGTAAGCGCGCGGCCCTGTACCGCACGCGCAAATCAGGATCAGATCAGTGGGATCAGAAAAGGAAAAAACAGTTTTTACTGTAGGATGATCGGTCAGTCCAAAGGCATGTTTATAATACAGTCATCACCAGCAAATGCTTTAAGTATTAAATACATTTGTTCAATGATGTTTCATTATTGCACATAATAATGAATAAATGCACATCTGTGGATGATTTCTTTGCATGTGTGCACTGGATGGGTTGTTGCCGACAGCTGGTGAGAATCTCATGTCAGTAACACCTTATATCATGTTAAGAAATATATTTACTTAGAAAACTGCTGACATGTCAAATATTTATTATATCATTATAATATATATATATATATATATATATATATATATATATATATATATATATATATATATATATATATATATAACTTGTTTTTATTTCCGAGCTCTGTTAAAGTGCTCGTCTGGCACAGGACCAGATGGGATCTGGCTTTTTAACAAGTGTTGGTCAGCATAAGTTGTGATTGTTTCAGAGCTGCGGGCAGAGAGGGTGACAGGAGAGGATGGCACTGAGGAGAAGATGCTCGGTAAGTATAAGCTCTGTATTTACTGCTCCGTCCAGATACTTGTGTTCACCATCATGCTCGGTTTACACTGTCTTTGGTTTCATGTGCAGCACATATCCTTAGAGAAAGCTCTAATACCATGTTTCAACATTTCTGAAAAGTACTGTACAAAGTAACTGGTGTAAATATCTGAGGGCTGCAGCTTTCATTACTTATTATTCTGCAAAATCTTAGCAGCTAATCTTTACTAAAGTAACAAAAGAGATGCACATAACAACAACTTTGCCATAGACATGTTTATTTAGACTGTGGGTCACCTGCTGTCCAAAAGTTCTGTGTTTCTGTGTATATTGTTTTTATTGTAACACCAAAACAAAAACATGTTTTATCAGTACGGAGTGGAAGCAGTCAAACTCAGTGTGACAAGGACGATGCTGTTGCTCCAACAGTGGTTTCTCCCTTATTGTGTAAAACAAGGGAAGAGATCCAGGCTGTAGAAACTGTAAACCCTGATCCTGCACTGTGTGTAATCAGGCTTCTGGAGTCTCCTGGTCCTGTCAGTATTAGTAGGATGCATCTGCTGCGTCTTCTCGTGGATGCTCACCTACCTTGACTCGTTCCAGCCTGGTATGGATTTCCCGACACTGCGGACAGTGGCCCACGTCAGGTAACACGCTGGGATACGCTTTGTATGAGCAGAAGAATCAGGAATTCTCCCTTATAATGCTGATTTCTTACACGTTTTTTCTCTTCTGTTCTTCACATCAAACAAATTTGAATATTACACAAAGAAAACCTGAGTGAATACCAAGTGTAGTTTTCATTTATTAAGACAATCTATCCTAATCTACCTGGTCCCTGAACTCTTCTAAAGTAACTGGCCCTTGTTCCAGCATGAACAGCCTGTTTAAGGCCAAACAGTCTCAATCTGGTTTCAGTCTGGACTTTGACTGGGTCACTGCCAAACCTTCATTTAGTTATTGAGCCATTCAGAGGTGGACTTGCTGCTGTTTTTGGAGACTTCACACTCCAACAGATGCATTAGAGAGGAACCTGGGGTTCAGTATTTCGCCCGAGATATTTCACACGTAGATCTAAACAGTGAGGAATCAAACCACCAACCTCCTGAGTTACAGACATCCGCTGTTCCCGAAGCAGCGAGCCTTTGTGTTCTTTCGTCCCCTTAATGAATGAAATAATGATTTAAAACCTGCATTTGTATTTATTCGATTGGTTATTTAAGAAACATTTAAGTCTAACAAATGTGAAAAAAAGGGAAATACTTTTATACCCTATATTATACTTAACTCATTCACTGCCAGGGTTTTTGAGCATTTTTACTCATTTTTGAAGAGCCACAGAAAACTGTGTGTTATGATCATATAAACGCTGAACCTACCAAAATGAAGAACAGACTCTCTTCTTCCATCCAAAAAAAAAAGCTTGTTTCTACCATTTTCCATTCTTTAGTAATCAGCTGTAGAAGAGAGGTGGGTTCCACCAAAAATGCCTGTTTTGACCACAAAAAGGGAGAAAACGAGCTTTTTGTGAAAAATACATTTCAAGCAGTCTGATGTTCACTGACAAGCTGCCCGAGGTTGTATTCTAGCCCCTCCCATTGGAAACGTAATTGACGTCTATAGACGTCAATGGCAGTGAATGAGTTAAATGTACAGTACTGTAAGACAGTTTTACAGTACTGTACATTTAATTTCTTGATATTAAAATAACACTAATCAATAATATCTCTCTTCTTCTAGAGACGCTTCTGACCGTGGCTTCCACGTGGGATATGGAGTTGCTGTTCTTAATGGCATCATGGCCATGCTCACCATCATCTGGAGTCTCTGCTGACACACACACACACACACACACACACACACACACACACACACACACACACACACACACACTCTTATCCAAGCCCAGGGAAATAACCACAGTAGTTTTAATGTGCTGTTATTGCTGCTAAAACGTGATCACACAGCTGTGCACTAACTGAAGACACCTTCTGTAACACTGGTGATGAAGCTGCAGCTTTCACACACAGCCTGTGTTTACCTGCAGGTGGATGGACACAGCAGCTTCCAGGCTGCAGCCTTGGATTAAAGCTCTGTATGTGGGGCTGTAAGCAGTTCAAACTCTGACACACTGCATGTCTTCAGATGAGACTGTGAACAGTTGATTAACCACCCAAACAGGAATGTTACATGCTCAGGTCTAACATGGCAGCTTTGGTCAAATTTGAAAAAACAAAAGAATTAAACTTCTTAGTGCTGATGAATTGTTTTCGTCTTTATTTCTCGGCTCGCTTCACCTGAAGGCTGAACAAAGCTTTGAAAGTTGTTAAAAAGACAGAACAATTCTTCAATGTCTTTAAAAAGCTTTAAAGAGTTTTAATTGCATTAACAATTTATAGCAACGTGCATTCTGCAGTTTTAATATGTAATAAGATTTGTGGTTTAAATGCCAAACTCTCATTTTATCAGATTAAACTCAGTGGCCTTTCCACTTGTAAATGCTTTGATAGATTAAAGGTTTTGGGACATGTTAATAATGATCAGCTTGTGAAGAAAGTGTAAGTTTTCACGTTTTCCCTCCAGTGGGTCAGAGCCGCTTCATGACAGGGACCTATAGAACTTTATATGTGGTTTTTATGTTCTAGCTGAAGTGTGTTAATAAAGGGAGCTTATCAATGCTTTCATATTATTTACATTTTCATGGTATGGGACGATGATCTGATCATCTGACCACCACCTGATCCAAAGAGCCATTTAGATGGCCCCTGTGACAGATTTGTCACTCAGAGCTCCAGCACTGAGTCTAGGGAGGGTGCCTGATGACCTGGTGCAGCCTGAACAAACAACATGGGCCCAGCTTCCTGTGGGCTCTCCAAGCGTCAGATGGGATGTCGAGGGCAGAAGCAGTCCGATGCACTGGTGCTGAGGCCGGCCACTGGGGCGCAGAAACTCAGATGTTTGAAAGAGCCTGAGTGAGTGTGTGAGGTTGATGTAGTCACAACAGATGATTCATCCATCAGATTCCCAGAGGGAGAACACGCCTTCACTGCTCTGGAGTCTAGTGGCGGCGTGCTTTACACCGCTACATCTGATGCTTTGCATTGGGCTTGGTGATGTAAGGCTGGGATGAAGCACCAGTTTCATCTGAAGGCCACATGAAGTTTGGAGGTCTGTACTGAAAGTTGGCCACTAGGTACTTCAGCATCTGTGTTTTACGTTGCTTACCGCTTGGTGGCTGAGTTGCTGCCCTTCCCCATCGCTCCCACTTTGTTGTTCGCTTCCACTCACAGCTCTCTGTGGAGTCTTTAGTAACGAGGGAATGTCAAAACTCACCTTATTGCAGAAGGTGCATCCCATCGCCGTAAAACGCTGGAATTCACAGAGCTCCTGAGAGCAACGCACTCTTCCACAAATGTTTGCAGAAGCAGGCTGCACAGGTGCTTGAGTTTGCACACCTGTGGCCATAGAAGTGACACCTGAACTCGCTGATTTGGACGGGTGAGTGAATACTTTTGGCGCTTTCACTTTCCAGTCACTAAAGTCATATTTAAAACCTTAAAGACATCTGGAGACATCTGGTGGCCAACAGTATGAAGAGCAGCTCTACAACGTGCACTGCTTCATTGTGAGGCTATCACGCCTCCACACGGTGCTTCTGATGCAGTGTGTTGTTGTTGTTTTGGAACACGCACCAGTTTTTATTGTCTTTGCAAAGATGAGAGAAAAAACTTTTTGCATCATTGTTTAATAAATGAATTGGCCTCCAGTGATCCAGATATAATTGATCCTTGTTCCCCATTATCGTGTAATCCCTGAAACACAGCAGGCAGAAGCAGAGCTGTAAAATGACAAGTCTCTCTACATCCACACTCTCCTTCTAATTCATCATTGCCTGGTCATTTGTCATCTTTTACCCGAGTTCCCTCAGGCAGGCTTTGAATTCCTGATATTGTCTTGGAATTTCTCAAAGAAATGTTAGATGAGGAATACGGTTTTTGAAAAAAAAAAACAGGCCAAATAGGAAAAGAACTGTGATGAACTATTAATGGGAGTCTTATTAATTATCGTTTCAAGGAAATACTTTGAAATATTGCAGAACAAATGTCTCCTTCTGCGAGCCGTTTCCCTCTGGATCTGAAAAACGCCACCCGGCCTTATCCTCTCTGTCACTGCTACGTTGTTAGAGGTCAGTCATGAACCAGAATAAACTGTATGGGATTTATATTGATATTAAGAGTACCCATCAATCTGAATTGACGGCTGACCACAGAACATTCCTTATAAAATTGCGACACCTGCTGACTGGTTTGTGCCAAAGGAGACTCAGATATCAGGTTCCTGTTGGCTGTGCGTGGCCTTGCTGAACCAAATTCAATTCAGCACGTTTTTCTGTACAGTAAAGAAACAGAAGCTTTCTTTAACACTTGTGCAATAAGCAGGAACAGTGAAGTGGACACTATGTGAAAAACATCCCCAGTTCCACCCAGTCATGTTTTCAATCACAAGTCTAGTCCTCACCTCTGCCATATGCTTCCTGCCAGTAAAAAGACTTTTATTTTGAAAATTATTCATATAGAACAAAAATCAGTTTTTATGTGTTTAAAACCAGAATAACAGTGGGAACACTGCAGGGCCTAATCTTTTTAGGATGTCCATCTCCTTTCCAGCACAAACCTCAGTCTTAGTCTCCCAGATTATTAATCACAGAAACCAGAAAGCACAGGTGTCGTTCTCTCAGTGAGTCTGCTGCTTGTGTCACTGGAAATCCACTAAAAGTTCAGTAATGCTGGGATATCAGCTAGAAGGTCCTAAATGTGCTGCAAGACAGTGTGGAAATAATGCAGGAAAGGTGGCTGAAAACAGACGTTCTCAGCTGCTCTTTACAAGTCCAAACATCCGCTGCATTACAGACTCGTGCCACAGCTGGTGTTCTTGTGAAACGTTTTCATGCACCTTTCACGCTTTTCTTCCTATTCCCACTGCATCTCATCAAGATTCAATTTGATTTGCACAGCGCCAAATCACAACAGTCGCCTCAGGGTGCTTTATATTATAAAGTACAACAATACACACAAAAGAAGCTGCTTGAAGGCACAATCCTCACATTGTGTAATTATTTAACAAAAACTGTGTGCACCACGTTTGGTGACATTCAACTTTGTACAGAAAAGTGAGTCTGAATTTCTGTGAGTTGAAGCTGATAAGTTACTGTTGCCAAAGGTGGTTCTACACACTGTTGCATAGTGGGGGTGGGGAGGGGTTACATTTTGACACACTGCTTCTGCATTTTGGACGAGTTACTGTGAACTAAACAATAGCAGAGTCTGAGAGGTCATGCTGTTCACCTGAGGTTGTATTTACTTCATATTAGAACCTGGTAATAACCAGATGATTCGTCTTATGATGTCTAAACAGATAAAACCTTGGATGTGGCAGAGGATGATCCTGGTATGTGAAGACGAGAAGTCTGTACTTGAGTTTAAAACTTTAAAGGACGCTGATGCCACCAGCAGTGATGGCAGACCACTAGGTTTAGATTTGATGACCTCAGGCTAAGAGAAGGGCGCATACATTGTTGGGATTTAAATATATATATTAATGCTTATTTTGCTGATTACATTGTATTATGTATAAGAGAGGGCCAGGAAACTGCATGTTTTTGCAGAGCATGGTAACTGCAGGCAGAAAGGGAAACTAAGCAGAGTGTTTGATCGAAACTTAAAGTGTGTGTGACGTCTATATGAATAACGCGTCAGACCTGAGCTCGTGTTCGGGTCTCCATATTCCGGAATATTGTTAAATCCTCCCAATTCTTTCGATCTTTGGGCTGAAGGAAGGACACTACTCGGTGTATAAATGCTCCTTCAACAATGCTTTATTCCATACAATTCAACACTTTTGAACATAAACCATCCGGATGGGGAGACATGCATGCAGAGGGTCACAGCAAATCTCAAGATGGTGCAGGCTGACTCAACCCTGCACCATCTTGAGACTCAACCTCTGGTGGGGGCCAACAGAGGCTATCGTAAAAACCCAAACATCCACATTCTTTCTCTCTCTCAGTGAGCCTGAGTCATGACCTTGGCTTCCTGTGCAGTCTGTTCTGTTCTCTTCTAATCAGACAAGCAAGGTCCTGACTCTCTGAAAACAGTATTTCTTATGACTCAGCAGTATAATGCATCATAAAACAATATCATTCATTCACAATGAATCAGCAGTCTGATCTAATACAAATCAATTTAACAAATGTAATAGTTACCACCTTCTTCTAATTCAGGAGAATAATACAAACTAAAACTACATAATAATTCACAAGCTTTAATTAGGGGTCTAACATAGCATAAGATATAATTTAATTATAATATAATAATCCCACAATATGTAACATGAAAGATCATTTTTTAAGTTAGACCACGTTGAGCCGTGTCTTTCTTTGCTGTAGGGAATACAAAGAACTGAGATTTAATAACATATATATACACACGTATACATACATACATACATATATATATATATATATATATATATATATATATATATATATATATATACATATATATATATATATATATATATATACATATATATATATATATATACGTGTGCCAAGAGTGAACGAGACATCGATTCACTGATCCACACTACCAGGCTATACAGCAATGACATCGGGATGTCGTTCGGACTGGAGAAGTGTAGTCGGATGGTAACAAAGAGAGGGAAGGTAGTCAGAACTGAGGGGATTGAACTACCAGAAGGCAACATTGCAGACATAGAGGACAGTTACAAGTACCTGGGGATCCCGCAGGCAAATGGGAACCATGAAGAGGCCGCTAGAAAAGCTGCAACCACCAAGTACCTGCAGAGGGTCAGGCAAGTCCTGAGGAGTCAGCTGAATGGTAAGAACAAGATCCGGGCCATCAACACGTACGCCCTGCCCGTGATCAGGTACCCTGCTGGGGTAATAGGCTGGCCAAAGGAGGAGATAGAAGCCACTGACATAAAGACAAGAAAGCTCCTTACCATGCATGGAGGGTTTCACCCCAAGTCCAGCACCCTGAGGCTGTACGCTAAGCGGAAGGAAGGGGGCCGGGGACTGGTGAGTGTCAGCACCACAGTCCAGGATGAGACAACGAACATCCAAGAATACATTGGGAAGATGGCCCCAACTGACCGAGTGCTCAGTGAATACCTCAGGCAGCAGAAACCCAAGAAAGAGGAGGGAGACGAGGAACCATCATGGAAGGACAGGCCCCTGCACGGT